GCTTGCTCAGGTATTATATTTATGTATTAATGAAATTGGTCATATGAGTGTCTCCGTTGAACAAGTTGTGTTGAATCACTGCAAACCATTCATGATCCTCTATATACTTTGCTCCCTGGCTTATCTTACCAGTAAACACAGTTGAAAGGTGAGCAGATACCTTTATATATTCTATATAAAGCAGTTACATTTCTCACCCTGACTAATTTTAAAGTGTAACATTTGCCGTATTCCAAAAATTATCTATAGAATATATTTGGAACTTTCTTTTCCTAGTACATCTTTCAAGCAAATGTTGGCTTTTTAATTTAAAATTTCAATCTAGAAACTGTTTATAAAACTCCTCCCATAGTTTTTGCTTAAATTTAAGTGAAATGCACCCTAGAGAAAGGGAGAAAGCACCCTTAAAATTACTAGTGTATAAGCTCCAAGAGGGCAGAGGTCTTATTCTTCTTGATCACTACTGTATCCCTAGAAATTCCAGGAAATTGAATGTTTAGAAAAACAAAACAAAACAAAAAACCCTTAAGTCAAGTTGAAAAGAGGCTCTAATTGTAGGAAATAAAGCAAGAAAACTCATTCCAAGAGAAGTTCCTTCCTAATCACAGGGAGGAAATCGAATTTCTGTGCCAATGACGTGAACACAGAGTTTTCATAGAGTGCAAACTCAGAGTAAAGAACAAAATAACCCTGTCCTACACAAGGAGAATTTGAGTTTCCCCTAACAAAGTGCTGCCTCAGATTTCAGAGAAGATATTACTTCTGCCCAGGGGATTGGAAACTGTCCTGGAGGGCAATGAAAGTTAACTTGAGGCACTCTTCTTATTGATTCTCTTTCCAAATGTGTTAAGAAATGTTTGGAATGACTTGTCTTGAGTAGAGGGACAAAAAGAGATATCTTTTGGGAGTTTCTGCTGACCCTATGCCTTGGGTTATAAAGACAATAAATATAATAAAGTCAAGTTAAATAGACTCTGCTTCAATACAAATAATAATAATAATCGTAATAATCATGGCAAAACAATGGCAAGAGGAAAATAAGAATTATAATTATGGCTTTTCTATTTCTTTCTTTTGGTATGGGAATGTCTCTCCTACGCCTGTCTCACCATTGTACTGTGGACGTAGATAACCTTTCTGATTTCACAGGTTCAGAGGTGCAGAGAAATTTCCCTCAGGTTGAATCATACCTTGAGTCTCATACGTCTGATTTAGATGAGACTCGGGACTTTAGACTTTTGAGTTGGTGCTGAAATGAGTTAAGACTTTTGGGGCTATTGGAATGGGATAAATATATTTTGCTTGTGAAAAGGACATACATTTTGAGGTTCGGGGTGAAAAGCTATGGTCTGAATGTGTCTCCCAAAATTATACGTTGTTATTTAATCACCAATATGATAGTATTCAGAGGTAGCACCTTTAGGGGATGGTTAAGTCATGAGGTCATGACTAATCCTTAAAGAAAAAGATTAGTACTTCATAAAAGCGGTTGAAGGAAGCACCCAGTTCCTTTGTATGACCTTCTGTCCCTTCCTCCATGTGAGGCCACAGTGGTTATTCCCTCTAGAGGGCACAGCAACAAGGTTTCCAAACGTCTTTGGAAACAAACACCAGGCCTTCACCAGACACCAAACCTGCTGGCACCTTCATCTTGGACTTCCAGCTTCCAGAACCATTAGAAATAAATGTCTGTTCTTTATACATTACCGAGGCTCAGGTATTTTAATATAGCAGCAGGAACAGACAAAGATAGGATGAGTTACCAATACTGAAACTTTACATATACTCTAAGACAAAGTGAGTCAGTAAACACATTATAAATAATTAAAGCAAGGTTTCTCACTGTCAGAAAGAATTGACAATGTAGAAAGGAGGAAGGCAAGAATAAACTCTGTGGTATGAAACTCAAATCTAAGGTATTAGTGTGACCTCATAGTTTTTAATACAGATAGATGATAGATAGATAGATAGATAGATATAAATGTTTGTGCAAAAGAGATGCATATAAGTATATATATATTTTTTTTTTTTTTCCTAACTCTGATATCTGAAAGAATCTATATGCAATGACATTCCAATAGCAATTAGCACACTTAGCACTCAGATCTTGGTTTCTAATTTTTCTGGGGGGAAACCAGTACTCTACCAGCATGTCACTGTCCTGTGGTGGCAGAGTATAAATGTGCTTTAAAAATTATGGTGTTACATCAAAGAAATCCATACACCAATGTGAAGAAATTCCTAAAAGCCAAATCAAGGCCAATCTATACTATAAATACAAGTTTATAACTGGTTTAAACCAATTTAATGCTTTATAACTTTAATAGATGAAAATAAACATCTGCGAATTCATACTGACATAAATTTAAGAATATGAATAAGGAAATAAATAGGGGAGAAGGAAAAACTATTTCTTACAGTAGAATTCTAATTAATAAATGTAGAAGGAATAATATAAATAGAAAATCACCATTTGGGGACATCACAGTAATAATTATTGCAAGAAAGAACCATTAACAGATAATAAAATTAATGGGTAAAAGTATGATGACAATCAGATTATTTTCATGATCTCAAAATATCTACCTACAAAGTAGTTATTAAATACAAAGGGTAAATTGTAACTTTACAGGGAGGAACCTGTCAGGCACACTCTTACACAAGTGTTCTCATAAAATTGCTAGTAATAGAACATCAACATTTTGTACCTCCTGATAAGATACACTGAGAAGGTCACAATATTGCTTTGGTGATGACTTTTAACCAAAATGCACACCTGAATTTAATCATGGGGAATATTATATAAATCTAAATTGAAAGGGTATTTTACAAAATAACAGGCCCATACTCTAAAAATATCAAGTCATGAGTTACAAAGAGAGCGAGGAAGTCTCACATTGAAGGAGTCTGAGAAGACATGAAATCCAAGTACAATGCAAAATCTAGTTTGGATGGTGGACTAGAAAAGGGACAATTGGTGAAATTTACATAAGGTCTGTAGGTTAGAAGAGACGATTTTATCTGTATTAACTTCCTGATTTTGACCACTTTTAAAATATGTATACAGAAAATTAACATTTAAGGAATCTGAGTGAAGAATAGATGGGAAATATGCAAAATTTTTATAAGTCTAAAATTATTTTAAAATTGAAAGTTAGACTTTTTTGTTTTTCTTTGAGACAGGGTCTCACTCTGTCACCCAGACTGTTTGCAGAGGTGTAATTTCAATTCACTGGAACCTCCGCCTCCTAGGCTCAAGAGATTCTCCTGTCTCAGCCTCCTCAATAGCTGGGATTACAGGTGTGTGCCACCACAGCTGGCTAATTTTTATATTTTTAGTAGTGATGGGGTTTCACCATGTTGGCCAGACTGGTCTCAAATGATTCACTAACCTCGGCCTCTGTAAGTGCTGGGATTATAGGCTTGAGCCACCTCGCCTGGCCGTGTTTTTTAATTAAATGAGTATTTTAAAAAGTTATTAATACTCCTCTCCCAGATATCTTGTTTTAGAGCCCCTTGGAGATAAATAACTACTCTGTCAATTTGGTATAAAGTATATAATTAGGTAGCTTCTAATAGGGGTGTGTGTGTGTGTGTGTGTGTGTGTGTGTATATATTTACATCATTTTTTTGTTGTATCTGAAGTCCAAGAACACAGGCGTATGTTGGTTTTATTTATCGCTAAGTCCTCAACACCTAAAAGATTCATGATTGGAACCATCTTAATATATATTCATTAAATAAGTTAGCAGTAGATGTAAGTTTATCTCTTAGTCCTGTCATTTGCTAACTGTGATTTTTAAAAAACTTGCTTAACTTTGCAGAGTCTCGGTTTCCTCGTCAGCAAAATGGACATATCCTTGCCTACCTCTTGGAGTTATGGTGAGGATTAAATGAGGTGGCATTTAGAAAGCATGTAGCAGAGTCCCTGGTACACAGCACGGAAATTAGTGCTGATTCTCCTTTAACTCTCCATCAAAACTATTCTAGCTATTTTAAAGGGATCATATCTCTCATTAATTTACCCAGATTGAGGAGCACTCCTGAGTTAGAGTCTGCCAAGTTATTTTTAAAATAGTGACTTATTTGCTTCAGGTAGAGTTCTCATGACATGAAATTTATTTTAATTTTCTTTCCCTAAAGTTAAAATGCCTCAAAAACCCTTAGATGTGAATATCTGGGAATTTAACATTTACCAACAAGGTATGGCATATATAAATCATGAAATATAGACACCTTTCATCGCTGATTTTGCAAGTACTGTTTACAGACTTCATTGGTCTCCACAAAGCATATGAAGAACATGGTGCTCCTTCACATATACATGAAGTCAGAGTTTTATGATTCCATAGGTACTGGCTTACAAAATACTTTCCATTGAGGATCATTTGAAGAATTGGGAGACAGAACAGAGAACCATCATTTATCAGGAACTTCCTCTGGAATGAGCCTGGGAATTTACACTTAATCTTTCCATTAATCCTGTGAAATTTAAATGATGCCCATTTTATAAAATTCAGGAAACTAAATGTGAAGCAGGTTAAGTGACCCAGTGGCATTCTAAAACACTAGAAGATAAAATCGATGAATGGATAATTAAAACATAAAAATATAATTAAACAACGTAAAAGCACTTGAATAGAAAAAAAAATAGTTATTAATCCTAGTCTGTATTCCTCACATCAATAAAGACAGGAAATTTGTTTTTTCCCCACACCTTTGCACAGACCTGTATGTCTCTTCTTTATTAACAAAAACATTTATCACGGCCCTCCTGTGCCTGTGTTCAGGGGAGCGCCATGCTGCTTACAAATGTCATAATGATTTCCTCCGTTTGATACACTGCAGCAGGGCCCCGCCTAGGGCAGCTTTTGACTCAGGGCTCTATAAGTAACATAAATATTTTTAAAAGATGGTGACGATGGTGAAAAGAATTTACCCCCATCTTTCATCCTCTTTTTCATTTCTCTTATTAATGAACTTCCTCTACCCCGACTCACCTCCATACTAGCCAGTAGAGACGGTTTGCGCTGAAGACCCCAGGTGGAAGATCTGTAGCCGTAGCCTGCGGGGAGGGTGGATAGGGCGTGGCTTTTCTGCGCAGGCGCTCTTCACTCCCCCGCCCTCGGTCCTCCCTTCACACTTGATCTCACTGATCTGAGGCTGTTTTTCCTACTACTTGCCTTGAACATACAGCTGTTATTTATAGCCATCTTTTATAGTTCACAAGACCCTTTCCACATCCTAGTACATTCCATATGCACAAGCAGCCTGTGAAGTAGTTATTATGAGCTGCATTGGGTAGATGAAAACATGGAGCCCCAGAAAGCTGATAATTTTGTCCAAGATCAGTGGTTCCCAAATGGACAGGCAGGACCTGAACTTGAAAGTATTGCTCTTTTTAACACACCATGGCCCTCTGATTATAGCTACCTTACAATCGACCTACAGCAGGCATCACAAACTCATTTAAATGACTGGGCTGGCCCCAGAAAGCAGGTGAGTTTCCAACACTGAGGCCTTTGTGTCTCTCTCTTCCTCTCCCTGACAAAAGTATAAGTTTCAAGCTACAGAAAAGTTGAAGCTAAGAAAGATATTCTGAAGGAACAATTACAGCCACTATGCCTCCAGCTGGCCTCTTGGTTTTGAGAGTAGTTTCAAATTGATTGTCCTGGGCTTTATTGGGGTCTTATTTTTCTGTTTCTTGCAAGAGAAAAGACGAGAAAACTCACATGCAAATAGACTGAATGGTAAGTCACACAAGGAGATAGTAGTACAGGCTTCAGCTCTCCAGATCTATCCTATCCTCACCAGGGAGAGGATGAAAGGAAACTGCTAGAAGTAGGAAAGAGACCAAATTGAGGGGAAACTGCTCAGCATTCAGGACCATTAAAGATACCAAGGGAAGTTCTGATATCCTTGCCCTGGTAACCTTTGGGGAAAAAGAGAGTTTAGCTGATGAGATAATTATTCATGCTTGAGCTATTTTCCCCAGTACTAAATAATTAGTTCTAATGAGTTTTCCAAGGGAATATTTGTTTTCAGCACTAAGAAAATGAGGGATGGGGTCACAGAGAAAATCTGAGCAGAAGTTGAACAGAGGGTTATTGAAAGAACTGAAACTCGAGGAGCTTCAACTTCACATTCAGTCTGCCACTCCGAGACAGGCTGGCCTTTTGATAGGACCCCTCTGCCACCCAGCTTCATCATGTCAAAGTGCCTCAGAGACACTGAAAGTGAAGAAAGATGTACTTTATCTAACACATCTTCATTTCACCTGGCAACTTGGCCACTAATTCACTGTTTGAACCATTAGCAGAAATAGCAACTGTGATGGAACCCGTGGAGAAGATATTAGTTGAAGGAACAGATTGTAATGAATAATCCAGCCTTTGTCATCGCGGCACTAGGGAGAACTGTGCACACTGGCTCTTGCTAATCCTGGAAATAATGATTTTTTATTCAGTGGTCTTACTTAAGAGAAAGCAAATTTTCCACATAGCATTTTGAGTGGGGCTGACTGGGCTCAGCATTGCCTTTTGAAGCAAAATAGCTTCTGAGGCCTCTGAGTCAGATGACTGGTGGATTTTGCATAGGCCTTCTGTGTATAAAACAGAAGAGCCACTGGAAAGCCCTTTGTGTGAGCCACCCTGCTCAGTGGGTGAACGGCCAGGATTATGTGTGTCCCAATATTACAGCTACCACCAGTCACTGGGAGCTGGAGAAATGAGACCAGTGGCACTTTTTAGACTGTCTGACTTCTTCAATTCAGCTCTTCATTTTTGATTTCAGTACTTAATTAGTGAAAGTGTGTCCCTGGAGAAGGTATAAATCAGCCCCACAGATGAATGCAACACAGAGGCATGGGAACACAAAGAAAGCAGACTGTGACCGTGTTAGCATCAGAGTGAACACGGACCAGACTTACTCCCCTTGTACTTCCTTATAAGGGTATGGCTGACCTTGGGAATGACTGTGAGGTTTAGTTTAGTTCATTTCAGCAAACATGTATTGAGCTCCATTATCTGCTGGGATCTGAGCCGGGATCTGGCAATAATAGCATAAGAATAGATAAAGATAATAATGAGTTAGCACTTTCAACTTGCTGGACAAGACCAAGAACATTGAATGTGCTTTCTCATTTGATCCTTACAACAACCCTGGTAAGAAACATCCTATTAACATCTGGGGAGACTGAAGACTAGAGCCACTAAGTGCTACCCATGTTTTTATGTCTCATAAAAAAGAGGGACCAGGATTCCATTCCAGGTCTGATTTCTTAGCATTGTATGTAGTCCTTGTGACAGATCACTACTTGTTCACCAAAATCCATTTTTATATCTTCCTGAGCACGTAACGAAACTACATTGCCCAGCAATTTTTTTTTTTTTTTTTGCAACTACATATAGTCATATGTGCTTTCTTATGGGTGGATTATAAGTAGAAATGGGCTGTTCCACTAACCTCAAGGCTTTAAAGAAGATGTATGCCTCCTCCAGGAATTTTTTCAGAGTCTATATGTTGAATACCAATGCAAAACAGTGCTAGGGGATAGTAGATGACAATATAAAAGGAACCCAGGCCTTTGAATCACTTCATGATGGAAAAACACATGCCAACCAGGAATACCCACTTTGGACTATTATAGGAACAAGATAAAAATGTTACTCTAATCAATACACTGCCCAATGTAAATTTAAATAAATCATAGCTTCTATCTTTGAGTCAAAGTTAATGATCAGATGTTCTTATCTTTTGTATATTTTGATATCCAACATCTATTTTTTGGTTTTGTTCTGTTGGTTTTGTCTTGTTTTTCCCCTCAGAAATGGGAAATGAGATGCTTTCTCCCATCAAAACCTTCAGTGCCTGGAAGATAACTTCAACAAACTTTATAAAAGGAACATTTGAAGAAATAGCAATACTAATATTGGATAAGACACAATAGAAATAGAGTAGAAGAGTTATTATTTTCAAATGAATGGTTACCAAATGCAAGACACTTTAGCCTTAGTCTCTGTGTTCCTAAGAAGTAAAATTGGGACCAGTGGATAGAACATTTAAGAAGTCAGGCTTTAGTTTATTTTGTGAAATATATATGTTCTATTTGGCAAAGTACACAAAGGTAAAGAGGGTGCCTTCAGAAGGCATAGTGAGGTTGGATGGCCATTTAGTACAAATATTGTGGAGCAAATGTCGGCAGCAAATGAGGATTTTCAGGTCAGCCAGTGTGTCCTTCAATCAGGAGATCTTGTGATTCTAAGAACATTTGATTTTGTGAGTCTTCAAGTCATAGTCCATACTTCCATATTTCCAAACCTCTAGGTTTTCTTCTGATGTAACTTTCAATGTGAACGCATTCTTCTGGAGAAAAAGGAGAAATAATGGATAGATTCTCTTGGCTCAAGGACTGCTTTGGTTCAAATCCCAGCTCCGTTCTCTTTAGGTGTGTGCCTTGAACTAGTTATTTTGTTTTTCTGTACTTCAGATTCCTCGTCTATAAATGCAGATAATAATACCTATCAGATTAGGTTTTTGTGAAGATTAAACTAACTTTATATTGAGCACTTTGAACCACTCATGACACATAAGTGCAGAATAATGTGAGCTATAATTATCACTGGTTAAGTGCCATTTATGCTAGATGTTTTCTTGTCTCAACACTGGCCAGTCCCTTGTTCTATTCTCCTACTCTGCACTAGAATAATAAACACAGATGTGTCCCTCTGCCCTGGAAACATTTCACCATTCTAATAGGTAGGCATGTAACATCAAAGTCAATGACCCTAAGGAATGATGGTTGAAATTTCAGGTAGAGTCATAGTAGGCTTTGAGGAACCACTGTGAATTTGAAAGAAGCATCTGAGAGATTAAGATAATTAGGTATTTTAGGACTGAACATGTGTCCCTATCTCTGGTCCTCAGACACCGCATCTATAAAATAGACCCTCTGGACTCCATCATTTCTTAGCTCCCCTCTGACTCTCCTTCAGCTGAGGTACAGACTTGTTCCTGATACAGCTGACACCATTACAGGGACTTTGCCAAGTGTAAGGACTGAGGAAATACTTGGCCATGGGGGCCCATTTTGTTGACTCAGATATGTGTCCTGTTTATTTGTATTGAAATGAAAACCTAGGGAATAGCATAATTGGTCAATAAGGAGAAACTGTCAGAATGAGAGCAGAGCTAAAGAAGTTGCTTGTCTCTGAAACATCTAGTTCACATCTTCAAGAGGTGTTTACACATTTCTTGAAAGAAGTTTCCCTACCCTAAGTAGCCCATCTTCCAAGGCTTTGAAACAATACCTGCTTTTTTTTTTTTTTCTTTATTCAGGATTTATTTAATAAATGCCTGAACCTATGTTATCATAATGTTTTATTTCCTAGCAGACATTACAGTTTTATATTACATTTTCTTTTCTTTCACATTCTAGATTGCTGTTTCCTCCCTCAAATTCTCACTTCCCTCTCTTTCTCTCAGTCTTTCTTTCTCTTTCTTCCTTTCTCACTGAGTCACAAGTCACAAGTTAGTCCTCCAGAATCCAGAAATAGACTTCAAGGCACTGTATCTAAAATAGTCTGGAGCCAGAGGGTGAGTATGACAGACACCAAGAGTTAACTTTAGGCATTAATCCCAAAGGTTCAGAGGAAGAGAATAAAATAAAATTAAAAAAAAAAAAACTGACAACGAGAGGAGAGGAATATTAGGGACAGGAGTAAATAGAAGGCCCTAGTAATTACTCTAACAGACACGGAGTTTCTAATATTTGTTTTACTGACCTCTAGATGCTTGATTTTTGAGTGGGTCAGCACTGGTGAAAATTCAGATGTTATGGATGATGTGCTATTTATTCATTCATTCAACACATATTCAGCAATCACCTATTAGGTCCTAAGGATATGATGGTGAGCAGAGGCATTATATCCCTGTCTTAATGGAACTGATATTCTGGGAAGAGGATGGCAACCAATGGGGGACAATGAAGTAAAGTATTTATATGGAGATCAGGTCTCTGAAGGCAATAGAGGTTAAGATGACAGCGAGTGACTGGATTTAGGTTGGGGGTG